CAATACAGCTAACTAATGAAGTAATAGTTTTCTTGTTTCAGTATATGAACATATGGACTCTCTGGTCAACAGAAGATATACTATTCTGCACTCAAACCTTTGTCATTTTATTGCTATCAAATAAATGTCTTATAAAATTCTGAATTGTTTTGTTGAAAACATATTGAGTTGCATTGATACTTTCTCATGATATAAAAATATCACTTCACTAGATGTAATGTTAGGCATCACCCAGGGCTCTAAATCTGCATTTATTTTACTTAATAGCCAATTCAAGGTTGATAATAAGTCATTAGGATTATCAGTTATATTCCTTTTATAACATATTTGCCAAGTAATACTTGGCAAATATGTTAAAGAAGTCAATTTTGCTATTGTAGCTGAGATAAGCCTTGTATTGAATTGTTGTTATCTGCATAGTGAATCATTTTTAATATGGAGCAATTTAAAGTAGGGAAAAAAGATAACTGATCCCTACAGATTCCATCTCAAGTGCAGTATTTCCCCTGTAATAAAATGGGTGTAATCAGTGGGTGTATGCTGATGCCTACAGCATATGTGTGTGTGGCCCCATATTAAACTGATTTGACCATATGAGATGTGGTTCAATGCTGTCAATCAGTTTGTGATAAATAAAGTTGGAAATATGAAAGGAATTTTGGGAAAAAAGAATAACAAATTATTTTAAAACAGCAGGAACAAAAACGAATTTCAATATTTCTTTTTACCCTTTAATTTGTGGAATATTTGAAACTGAAAAAATTCCTGGGTTAAAAGAAATTCATATAAGTAGGGGAGAAGTTTAGAATCGAGCAAGAAATTAAATTTTAGGTTCAGTTGGATTGGTGGGGAAAAAAAAATCAGTAAGCAGAAAGCAAAAAAAAAAAAAAAAAAAAAACAGTTGATGACAAAAATGGAGGGAAAATTTTGTCTTAAGTATTTTCATTTGTTAAAAAATTCTTTTCAGGTAGAATATCAAGGTTTATTTCTTTAAAATTTATTTTCTTTCAAGTGATTATTTCAAAATCTTCATCTATCAAGTCAGGATATTATTGTCTCGGTAACATTTATTATTATTTATAAATTATACCTATCTCTAAAACATCAATGGATTTAAAAAGAAATTTTAATCTGACATTTTTATTACTTCAAATGTTATTATAGTGGGCGCCTCATATTTAAAATAGACGCCCCATTTTTATTTAAACAGTGTAACTTAAATGTCTATCTATCAGTCTGTGCATTTCAGAAATCTAAATAATGTCCTTTAGCAGGTATCTAACTTGCATCTCCGTTTTCTTTAAATAGAGTAAAAAAGAGCCTTGCTTACTGTGAAGTTCTTTATGGCTGAATGATAAAACATGCTGGAACAAAAGTGGGGATACAAGTTCAACTGGTTCCATTCAACATATTTTCTTTATTTAGAATTTTCAAATGCAAAAACTGATTGATAGATATAATACACACTATCTAAAAAATAAAAATGTCGCGTCTATTTCAAAAAGAAGTGCCTTTTATAACAACATTTGAAGTAATAAAAATTATATATATATATCCAAATCCATTTATCTACTCTAATGTGTGCATATATGCATGCACTCATATCTGTATTGGGCCGATTTGCAGTCTGAGGTAACTGTATAACATCACTAGAGGTTGGTGTTTGAGCACAGGTAAAAAAAATATTATTTCATATCCTGACCTTTTAAGTTATACAGCCTATCCACATTATGCAGATCTTTACAAGAGTTAAACCACTTATAAACAGTGTGGACATAGGAATCAACTCTGCATGATTGAAAATCATATTGAGATATAAAACTGACTGTTATCATGTAATGTTGATTTCTCTGTCCACATTGTCTGTACATCTAGATATAGACACTGTGGACATAGGAATCAACATTGCATGGTGACTGTCATTTTCACATCTCAGTGCAATCTTCAGACCAAATCCACTTATACCCACATACAAATATCCTGACTCACTTTCAAAATATGACTAAATGACCAAATCTGAGAACTTTTCAGCACCTACTCTCTTTCTCTCTATATATATTTATATATATATATATATATTACATGAAAAAATCCAAAATTAACTCATGTGGGGTGGGGATAGATCTATTTCAACTAACGAAAAGTACATTAGTCTTATTCAACCCCGGTTTACAGACTGTTTGTATCGCAATTAGGAATTTTAAATTTAACCTTGACAGTAGTTGAAAAATTGATACAGACTTTACCCATTTCGATATTTCAGTCAGACGAAATGTCCGAGTTGGTGGTAAGGGGTGGGTTGAAGGTATTAGCCTTAAAGGGAAGAGGTTTTATAAAATTAATTTGGATATTGACCTTATGAGATTAAATTGGGGTTATATGAAGATAGAGGTGTTAAATGAAACTAAAAGAGGGCCAAAAAGGGACTTTTACATAAAAATTATTTTAATTATATATGAAAAAATATTAGGTTTCTACTTAAAAAATAACAAATTATACTTAAGAATGGGAAATATTAAAAAGATTAACAATAATTCACATTTAGATAAATTATGTTAAATTTAAGTAAGAATATAATTAAAAGATTTTATATATATATATATATATCATAAAAATCCAAGCAGAAAAATCTGTCAGGTGACCAAAAGAAAACTCAAATAGAAAAAAAAAAATAAAAAAAAATTTACTAATACTAAAATCAAGAAAAACTATACAAGAATGTGAAAATAAAGAAAAAAAAAAAGACTAAAAAGCAGACCCCCACCTAAACAGTAAATGACTGTGACCTATGCCTAGGTTATTATGACATAGCAAAAATGCTTCATATCGTCATATCTCAAAAAATACAGACCACTATTTAAGTTTCACATTAATGGGATCATCAGGTGACCAGAATGCCTATATATATTCCATATAGTGATATACAGTTATCCAATTGCAAATTGATCCATTACAGATATGAGGGCATATATATATATATATATATATATATATATATATATATATATATAGGTACAATGGGTAAATTGTTGCCATTTTATAGTTTTAATATCTTGAATGCATGTTCGTTTTTGATTTTGCACAGTATAGTAAAGTCAATTAGGTATTACTTGTGAGAAAAAAAGCACCATGATGCAATTTACTCTGCCAGAAATTTGGAAATGGCATACTGTACAGCTTGGCATTCATGCCGGAAGCTCCAATACAAACATTTCAGAGTGTTTGGGTGTCAATCTGAGGACAGTGCAGAGGATTTGTATAGAGTTGATTACAAAAGCGTTTGGCGTGATCACTAGTGATGCCAATGTTATGCCTCCATTCATCTTCCCACATGCCCTCAGACTCAACATGGAGGTCTACATCAAGCACCTTGAAGTAGTGGTGCTGCCCTGGGTCAAGAGGATGACTGCTAGAAGACCCTATATCTGGCAACAGGACTCTGCACCATGCCACACAACCAGGAGAACCAAGTAATGGATGTCTGACAATTTCTGTGACCACATCACCCCTTACATCTGGTCACCTAACTCCTCAGAATGCAACCCCATTGATTATTATGTGGGGGGGGGAGTAGCTGAGTGAGAGACCAACAAAGTTCCTTGTAAAACCAAAGATGAACTGAAGGCAAGGATTATGATAACGTTCACCAACTTCAACAAGAAGACTGTCCAGACGAGTTGCAGGAGATTCTGAAGTCATCTGGAGGTGCCATAGTTGAAGTCAATAGTGATTCTATTGAATAAATTTACTCTTGTATTTCAAGATATTTTTGTGCAATTTTGGTAATTATATCTGTTAATTATTATTATTTTCATTTTTTAAAAATTAAATGACAATTTATCCATCGCACTCTGTATATATGTATATTTAGGTAATGTATATTTATTCAAACATGAACAGAGGAGATTGAAAATACTTGGATAGAAAAACTACAGTAACTTTGATGAATTTCAACTCATCAAGAAGCTGATTAGAGAACTAGAAAAGATTATCATAAAAATAAATAGGCATAATATGTCTATATTATTCAATGAAACCATTTTAAATATATATATATATATATATATATACACTTTAAAAATCATATTGAATCTGCTATATATAGGATATATATAAGGTAGTGGATTCAACTATCTCCTGATATATATATATATATATATATAAAAAAAAATCCATGGGTAAGTAATTCAAGTAGATCCTATTAATATAAAATATTAAAACTGATCCACAAAATAGAGCTCAATATAATTTTTATTATAGTACATATAAGTGAATTACAATGAAAATTCAAAATACATTTACTAAAATCTTTTACTAAAAAGATTTTAGTAAATGTATTACGATGATAAGTCAAGGAAAAACTACTTTCCCATGGACAAAATGATCATCTGTATGAGGTAAATTGCTTGGATTTCATTAATTATGTATATATATATATATATATATATATATATATATATATATATATATATATATATATATACTCAGTTACTTAATCTCAACCATTACTATATAAGTTGTACCAAGTATTTTATTTTAAAGATGAATACTTTTTAGGAATTATATTGAGATTGGTAAACGGGTTCTTTTCTTTGTGATAATTTTTGCAATGTTTATAAATGATTTTCTTTTTACTTTTAACAATCAGGCCAAATGTTCATATGAATATCAACAGCTAAAATATTCCCTGTTTTCTTCATTCATATTTCCAGTGCTTAAATTGTGTTGTTTTTGATTTATATCACAAAACTGAACAGTAAACCTTATCAACAGTTAAAAGTTTTTCTGATTAAAAATGCCAAGCTTATAAAAAATAGAATTGTATTTGATTTGTTTATCAATTTGTGTCTAATTAATGAAGGTTAGTTTGGGGTTTAAAAACAATAAGGGATTTTTTTTAAAGTGTCATTGTTAAAAGTAAATTAAGGGGGATTTTTCATTTAACAAATAGGTCAATCTTTGAGAATCATAGCAGACCATGCTGTTTGTTATTGATTTACCTTTAACTTTTCACAAATAATGGGATCCTGTCCTGTAAAATTGAAAGAAATCAGGAGCAATTTTAAGATGAGAAAAAATATTACAGAATTTAGGAACAAAATGGGGGTTAAAAAAAATCAATTTATTTCCAGCTGATTTCATTTTGTTTAAAATCTAGAAATGAATAAATTTATTCTGTTCTGTTAAAAATATTTCACATATATTCATATAAAAGTCTAGTTCTTAACTTTGACAGGTATCTGTAATTTTCCTGGACACACATGTAAAAACCAATTAGCTTTTTTCAAGAACAATATAAGATTGCAGAAGAAAGTGGTTTTTCCTGGCTGAAGACATTTTTCCAATAATAACAGATGAACATCTGAATCAAGGTACAGTTTTAAGCTGGAATTAAAGAAAAAACAGTTGATACAAGAGTTCACAGCACCATTTTTGCACAATGTTAGAGAAATCTTAAGAGTTTATTCAGTTTGTTACTGCTTGTAAACTCAGTCAACTATTTTACATTATTTAGTTACATATGTACTTACAGATAAGACATTGGTATGTGTTTTTCTTTTTTGGATCAGTACAGAAAAAAATGATTTTTGGACAAGATAGATACTGCTGAGCAAAAATTGATTTATTATGAAAATTTAAAATGAAGAAAATTGTAACTAAATCCAGGACATCACAATCTAAACAGAATATGCTAGTTAAAAATGTTCTCTATGTTTATAATTGAGATGTAAATGGAATTATCATCAATTGTTTAAACTCTTACTCTACCAATGCTGTCGTGAGCAATTGGCTTGTTTAAATTGCAGGAATCTGAGCAAACAGTTATTGCACAAATGCTGCAATGAGCAATTGGCTTGTTGGAATTGCTGAAATCTGCACAAACTATTATTGAATCAATGGCTTGTTTGAATAACGGACTGGAAGAGAAAACTGCCATCCTTCTCATACAAATGCAATGCAGTCAACAATCATAGAAGCAAGATTGCTAATTTTTCCACATACAGCATATTTTCCAAACTTTCAGGATGTCTCTGAAACACTTTTTCTTTGATTATTAGTTTCAACAAGTTCAAGAATTTTGAAGAATTCATTGGTCTTTTTCTTTTTGGGTGGCATTTACTATATTGTTGAACGGTGATATATGAAAAGTCCAGGGAAACTACTATGTTATGAATAAAAAATATATAAAAAAGAGCTGAAAACGTTTTGCATTAATCTGGTGATCATAAGGGAAGCCTTTCTAAATAAAAGATTAACTCTAAGAGAAACCTACTTCAACAAAAATATTTCCAACTGCTAAGAGGATGTGATTTTATTAAAATGTTTATGCCATGAGAACAATGATCTAATGCAACAGAAGACAACAGTGAAGTGTGTGGCTGAAATAAAACGTGGTCAAAGGCTGAAATGAAAGACCAATAGCTATTAAATATGCAAACATTATTATAGCATCAAAATATCATCATCATCATTTATACATCTCTTCAGGATGTGGGAGATCATGGCTCTTCACAACTGCCTAACACACTAGAAACTTACTGAAACTATATAATTCAGTCTGGTAAGTTATATCAGGCTAGAGAATTGTAATAGTCTAAGAATTCAATTCCATTTGAAAAAATCCTCAAAATCCCTGAATTACAATTGAATGGATTTTGTGTGACTATCAGAGGCAGATTATTTTTTTTATGTTTATTTTAACTTAAAAAAATTTTTTTTTTTTTGGGAAATATTAATTAAACTGAGGAACTTGAAACCTTTTACAGATTAAAAAATTATTTTTATCTCCAGTCATCATTCATGTCATAAGCTCTTGAAGCCAGCCATTAAGGCAACATTTAACAATTTGTGAAAAAAATAATTCTTGTAAAAAAAACCCCAAAAAAAACAAAAAAATAAAACTTTTTCATAGTACTCCTGTAGATATTTAAACTGATAAAGAACCTGAATGAGCTAAGCATTTATTTACCTATGTACACCTGGTTTAATATTTGTCGGGTTATCTCCACCTAATTTTCAAAACTGCTACTAGGGGATGCTATCTGGTACTATTAATACTCTGTGATAATTATTCGCAGCCTCTTCTTACTTTTTATGTCAACATGTAAGTTTCTTGTGAAAGAATGCATTCCCTTTTTGGGACATGCATAAACAATACACACACACCTTTCACTTCATTTTTTTCTAGGACTTTCTCCTACACTAAACATACATATACAATTCATTAGCTTAAATGTTTTCTCCCTTCATGTTCATTGTTCAGTAATACACAACAATATTCTATTGTATATGTAACCATTTATTGTTAATACATGATCATCTGTTTGTACACACATATATTGGTCCTTGTTTCTTATTTTTTTTATATGGACTCATATTCTGAGTCTACCATGTTGGTTGTGGGCATTTCAGGAGACACGTGTGTTTTTCTCACAATGTGTATGCCGACCTGCAACATATTTCTCCTACTTTATGTAGTCAACTGCCTGCCTCTCTTGTATATCAATAGCAAATATCAGTGGATTTATTTTGTGACTGGAAATATGAGGACTGATGAAATGAGAAGAGGATAATAAGAACTTAGGGAGAATTTTAATAAAAATGAAACTTAAATATAAACAAGAATCAATAAATACATAAGTAACAATTTGTTGTGTTATGATGAGAAACAGAACTTCATCCTGAACAGATCGAACATGCCGTTAAAGGTGGTAAACCCTTGTGACAAAATTGACCATCTACCTTGGAAAGGAAACTCCAACAAAAAACTCCAACTACAAAATCTTACTGCCAAACTAGCTGAACTATGACAGGTAAAGTTTAAAGGGTGAAGTCTGTAATATTCCTTTCACCCTGTAGTAAACAGGATGCAAAATTAGAAATTGATGCTTCCATTGATGGATTATAAGTAAACAAAAAATGTGACTGTACAAGCAGATCATTCATAACTTCTGATTAGAAAATAAAAAAAAAAGCATTAAAGATATTGTCAATAAGAAGTTTTCATGCCAAAAACAAGAATTTCCCTCTGTGAGCCAATCAAGATCTATAAAAGAAGCAGAACATTTTGTCACACAGAGAGAGAGGGAGAGAGAAAAATATTTTAATGACAAAATGAGTCACTTTCGTATTCTCTCCAACTTTTGATACCATGTGTACTCCAGGTCACTGACTCTTACGATACCAGTTGAACTGACCTTTCTATGCAGTGAACTCTAACAGAAAATATTTTTTATTCTTTGCCGTGAATTATTAAAAAATGTTTTATTGTATGAGATATATCTCAAAACTACAAAACTTATTTTGTATCTATAATTTAAATTTACTATTTTCAATGACAATGACTGTGTTGATTTAAAAATATAAGAAGAATAAATAATGTTTTTTTAAACAGTATTTTTATGCATCTGTTTGAACAAGTTGTGCATTTTGTAGCAGCAATTGACCAAATATAGCTGGTTGTCACTCAGTGTAAATATTCCTTCTGATACAACAATTTAACCTTTAAACATTAACTGGCCATCGTGGAAAGTGTTGACCAGCTATTACTCCCCACCTAAAACATCACGAGTGCAGACATGGATAGCCTGCAACAGTTGTAAAATTCTTCATAAATCTTCAAGTCAAACCATCATGATATCTAGTTGGGAGATGTATAAAGGTTTAAAGAAGTAGAACAGAAAACACAAATTTTGCCACTACTATGAGAAGTAAGAGATGATTATCTGCCCTTGGCAGTTTAAGATTAGCCAATCAACTTACAGTTGCTGATTGGTGTGCTTTTCTACCTCTTTTTGAAGAACACTTATTCTTGGTAAGACTGACGAAATGAACACTTGCAGAATCGGCCTCCTCTACACTGTTATCACCATAAAGTCTGTAGATGGTGAAAACATTGACTCTTCTTCAGCAGATAAGTTTAGTTGCAGACACCATTAAATTTGCAAGGACTTATTTGTAATATTGTTTAATACAACTTGTATAAATCAGAGGTCAGTTGGATTCTATTCTTTATTTATTACAACATCTGCATCCACCATATGGGAATCTTATATGGGGCCCACTTCAATTCCCCATACTACCCTTTCTGAATTTTTTCTTGATTCCATTTTCCATTAATTGTGAGGACAACTGTGAGATGATGATGATGATCATCATCACACACATACATACATACTTACGCAAATTCAAATTTCAATAACAATCATTCATTGGATTGAAATCAACACTGCTATCTTATGCAACAATTTAGAAATTGCTATATTTTCATATAGTAGATTTTGTGCACTTTTGGGAGAATCGGCTTCCAGAAGTCTCCTCAAAACTCATGCACTGATTGGTCAGTATCGCCCAATCAGATTCTCTGCATGTGGAGAATGATTTTTCCCGTGCAGCACTCCTGACCCAATGATCACCTATAAACAACAAACGCGAGTTTGCCTCTCTCTCTTTCTTTCTTTCTTTCTTTTCTATTCTTGCTGTAAAATGTAGTCCCGGAGAATTATCTTCTTGACCTTGCGGTCAGACGTTAAAGAACATTCCAGCATTCACGTAAGTATGAACTCTTACGAACATTCAATACAAACGTTCATACACACACACACAATGTTAACTGTCTATGTGCTTTGTAAATGTTTTGTTTAATACATATATTTGTTTATATATATTAGTCTTGTTTGTTTGTCCTTTCTACACATCAGTTTGGCTTCTTAAACAAAATTAAATAAATGTGATGGAAGTCCACCACAACTGTGGTTATTTAGAGCAGGCCTTCTTTTTATGCTCATATTTCTCAAAACTTTTGAGGTGCAACTGTCTATCCATAACTGAGTTGTTTAATTAATTAGACCATATTTGAATATAAACATAAGATAGTGTATGATCAACATGTATTCTTAAGCAGACTACCAGAAAAAAACAAATCCCCAAAAAAGAAAAAAGAAGTGAAATAGATTACAAACTGTAACATAAATTATTCATGTTGAAATTAGACAAAATTCTAGAAAGAAAGAAATTAAAGAAAAAATGGCAGGCAACATACATAATTTGAAATAAGAGATTATAATATGAAATCAAGGCAAAAATTGGACCAGAGATGGCGTCAGCAAAAGCAGGTTGCAATAAAGAACTTTCTCCATGCGCAGCATTCATTGAAGAAAAAAAGTAAGATGAAGTGAAAATATAGTTTTTTTTTTCTTTTGGTATGAAACGAATTTTTGCAGATTTCATAAAAATGCAAGTGTCATGTGAAATTGAATTCAACTTGATTTTAATTTGACGTATGAAAAATAAAACTAAAATAAAAAATAACAGAAGGGAAACAGACATTGAAAAAAGACATTTTGTAATTTCAAGGGAGGTAATTCTACTATTTAGGAAGAAGTTACCTTCCTTTCTGATTAATATCGGTGTCGTCTCAAGAAATGAAAAAAAGAAAGAAAATAATGAAATCAACACGACAGTTTCATAAATTATTATTTATTTTAGAAAAAATGTTATTGTTATTGGCAGACATTTTGTTATAGATCTTAAAATTTAAACTGCGGCCAAAAAAGATAAAAAATAAAAAACGAAAATATAAAAAATATATAGTTACTGCAGTGATGGACACTAATAAAAACAGTAAGTGATCAATTGTAAAGTGTTAATTTTTTATTTCTTTTAGAAAATAGCAATCAGAAAATTAATATAATGTTTAATATTTTGTTAAACATTCAGTATTAATTGAATTAAAGTGCTTTTGTTTCGTGAAAGTGTTAAATAAATTTTAAAATGTTGCAATGTTTATTTTTTAGGATTCCTTAAATGACCAAAGGCTGATTTCTAGCAGTTTTTTTTGTTTTATTTTAAAATTTGAATGAATTATATGCATCCTTCCCAGGGAGGTTATATGGATCATATGTACCTGTTTTCAGAAAAGTTTTATTATATTGTTAATTAGATTATGTATCAAGTCTATATTGTAAATAAAGATATCCAGAGTTGAATATGAATTTATGCTTAAAATAATTGTCTTTCAAATAGAACAATGTTGCTTGAAAGACAGGAAGAAATCCAGGGATTTAAAAAAAAAAAGTAAAGAAACAGGGTAAATGAGTTGAGGAATAAAAGATATGAAAGAAAGAAAGAAGCACTTAAAGCTGATTATTTGGAATGGATGCAAAATCATTTTTTATATTTTGAAATAAAAATGTAAATGCAAATGAAAAAGAACAAGAAATGTTACTTCTAATTTAAAATGTTATTTACTTTTTAATTTAAGCTTTGAGCAATACTTAAAGTTTGTAGAAACTACAAAAAAAGAAAAATGAATCTTAAGAAAAAAAAACATGCTATTTTATTCAATTAAATGAATGTGAATGAAAGGAATGAAAATAAAGTAAAAACTGACGATTTTTTGTGATCATTTTTTTCTGGTTGATTAATTAGTAAGAAATTGAAGTAATTTTTAGTTGTTTAAAAATAGACTGATAATTTGAGGAGAAAATACATTCCATAATTAATACATACCCAATTGCTGTTAATAGATTGTTAAATCTAATGAAATGATTAAAAAAAAAAAGAATTAATGTCATTATTAATGTGTAATAAAAATAGGTTGAATGGCAAGCTAAACCTTTTACCTTTACAGCAGTATTTTCACTCAAATAATTCAGGGGGTGTGCCTGTTCTGTAAAAATGAAGGAGGTTCATTAACTTAATTTAGAAAGAGGAACAGAAGAGGTAAAAGAAAAATAGTACAAAAAATCATGACCAGATCAGAAAAAAAAATAATTATACCTAGATTATAGATAGAAATCTACAAAATTATTTGCTGGCTCTATAGATAAGAGATTTTATTTATTTTTCAGTGACAACTTGGTTCAAATAGATTCAGAAATTTCAAATAGAAATTTTTTTTTTTACATTTTATTGTCCATGTGAAACAAATATGTAAACTTACTGTGACATGTTCATTCCAATGATCTTAATTTTTGTCGACTGAAAAACCTTTATATTTCATTTGCTCCAAAGAGAAAATCTCTTATAATGGTTTTGTTTTCACCCTTTGATCAATAGAAAAAAATTATATTTTCTTTTTTATCTTTTTACATGAAAATGAATAAAACTAATGCAAAGAGTTGTTGAAAGTCTGTGAGAGATGGTTGCGTAAAACCTTCCCCATGCTATTTAAATTGACTGGTTCACTTGTAAAAAAAAATAAAGCTTTTAGCATTTGTTAGACTTTCCTGAAGCAACAACATTTTTCAGAATTGAAAGATGATTATTTTTTTATCGATTTAGAAGTCAGGTCTTGTTTATAATATTGATACAGTGTAAAATTGATTCCTGACGTTTTACAGTATTATTGGACTTAGTTGTTATTTACAAATGTCAACTGTGTTTCCAGCATTGATATCTGCATTTTATTTTTGTTTTATTTAGTTTTCTGAATATTGATACTCTTTTGTAAGCATATGCACAAACATTGTGGTGGGTAATAGTTATTTTAAATGAAGGATAAATGGATATATACTTTTATTAATTGATGTAATTTTTTGTACTTTAATCAAGATAACTTTTTATGACAAAAAAAGAAAAAAGAAAAATTGTTCTCATATGCAAAACTACTGAGTCCAATAACACTGTATCAATCCCCCCTTCTAAATCAATAATAAAAAAAAAATCAATATTCTTTTATTCAGATAAATGTCACAGTGTAAAGATCTAAATAATACTAATCTACAAAAATTATTCCCCCAAATTTTTAAGAGTGGACCAGTCTGTTTAAATTGTGTCTCCTTCCTTTTGGGGCAATTCTACATGTTGTAATGCTTCGTAAGCATGTCTCAATAGATCAATTACAACTGTGTAATGAGTTTGATGCTCACTACGCTCCACACTTTCAACCTTGTGCCACATCTAATCTACACTTAGAAAATCAACACTTTCTTTTTCGTTTAGTGTAGCTGTCATTAGAAAAATACTTGAATGACAAGGACATGTTCTGCAGATGACTGTTTTCAGATAGGAGATTGCAAGAAACTTGTATGATGACTTGGAAGAAGTGTCACAAAGACTGTTGACCTTTTGCCTGGATATTATACAAATGAAATATTCCCATCCACATAGCTGATAACAATGATCTGACAGTCATAGAACCCAATGGAAATGGTGTATCAAAAATGGAATTGATAGCTGACAACACCAACCAACAATAACCAATTTTAGGATGGCAATTGTGACTACAGATTCAAAGTTTATTAGTAAATTTGTGTATTTAAAAATTGGATTAACTTATTCATCATCATTCACAATTTCTTTTTATTTTACAAGAATGTTTTTACATGGGAAGCAGTGTTATTTCTTTTTATTTATTTTTACTATTTATTCTCATTCGAGATTTTTGACAGTTTTTAAACATCCAATATGAAACTAATGCTAAACATTTCCCAACTGTGGGAGGGATTTATTTAAAATTTTAAAAATTATTTAATTTTGTTATTCTGAAAAGAAATTTCCATCAAGAAACACTGGATAAAATTAGAAAATGGTAAACAAAATTTAAATAAAAATTCTGCATCTTCATTGGTTGGACACTAGATATTTTCATCCATTTGTAAGAGTTTTAATTTTACATACCCAAGTGCAGATAAGTATGGTATGCATCTAATCATTAACCAATTGAGATTTGACCAGTATGCTCTTCTTGGACATTTTGGACAAATTTCCTGTTTAACAGAACAGATCAATAGTGAACAATAACATGATTACATTTTGTGGCGTCAATTCGAGGTCAAAATTTGGGTCGGTACCTTCGGACGTAGTTGATGACACCTAATTGATATTTTTCAACCAATTAGAATGCATCATTTGTTATACTTGGTTGGCAGCCTCTATGTTCATAGTTCTTGGTCAAGAGAACTAATAAAAATGAAACTTCGACGCGACTTGGTCAGTGGGCCCTTAAAATATTCAACTCATTCACTTGACTTCATTGGAAATCGACACAACAAACGGGACGAACCAAATTCTTCAATGCGACAACGAACCTCCTCACCAATTCCAGGCTTAAAGTTAATTACTTAAATTAAACATAAACCCAGCTTGCGAAAGAACGTTCACTACAACAAAATATATTATTCCACAACAAACATCTCCGGTAAAAGAGCGACAACTCTGTAGAAATCACAGTGAGTCAAGAACAACACTTTTTAAATTTAACACAAAGAAACAACTGTTTAATTTTCCTACAACAATAATACCCAAGTACACCTTCTCATTTTCATACATACAGTTCAGCAACTTAAATTCTTTCAATATTACACACAATCAAGAACTCTATAGTGTTTTAACTTTAGCCTCATATATTTTGCATTTGTTGTGTTTTATAAAAAAATATTTATTGTTGAACAAATTTTTCTACTTAATTATTTCTCTTGTTGTTGTCTGTGTAATATTTGATATAGTAAAAATCGTAGCGGGTCAGTTTTTTTTTGTATTTATAACCAATACAGATTGGCTAACCCATTGGAGACAACAGCCAACTAAAACACAGGTCTATGGACCAATCCTTGATATTTCTACCATTTTACGATGCATCTTTGATGCAGGACAGTGATGATTAGCATGATAGACTCATAACTGTACGACTTAACACAACGAATAAAATAATAAAATTTGTAAACTTTATTTCATATTATTTATTGAGTAAAATAAATAAGATTTGAACATACAAAAATATTACAAGGTATTAAAATGAAGCTTAAACCTCGGCTATTAATATTGATGGAGTTGTCGGAGTTACCTCCTCCTTCTATGCTTGAACCGGCAGAGGAACAGGTCATTTCGACCTTGACCTCTCATTCATGCTCCTTACACACTGTTAACACGTCGGAGGGACTAGCAAATCCCCTTTTTAGTTAGGTTATATTACAAACCTTGTTGTAATATACTACTAGTCATTTTTAGACCTTAGTTCTCTTTAGCTAACCTCGTAGTATTTTATTATAGAGACTTTTCGGTTAGCTTAGCCAATTTCTCTTGCTGGTCTACCTTGTCACAAGAGAGTGATTTCTCGCTAGATTCTTGGAGGCGGTCGGCGACCGAAAAGGTCGGCTACGCAGGCCCCTTGGCCAAGGAAGCCAATCAACGGGCTGTGTATTAAGTTACGCTCCCATTTTCTTTCTGCCAACTTTCTTTCTTTCTTTGTCTCTCTCTCTCTCTCTCCTTCCCAACACGTCAAGTTGGCATCCCGGCAATGACAAACAACAAGTTGGCAACACGAACTACAGCAACAAGTTGGCACCCCGGCAACGACTCAGCTTCAACAACCAACAACGATCATCCTGGCACCAGCCAACATCAACTTCAACAACCACCAAGCGATCATCCTGGCAACAAACCACATCAGCTTCAACCCTTAGCATTTATCATACATATCCTCGTTCTGTCGTCTATATTGTTTCACCGTCAGATTTAACGTCTTCAAAAATGTCAGCGGGCCTCTTGTGACCTCGTTCACCCCTTTCTGTGATACGGGGCCGCACGGAGTGCCACCGCTATACAGTTATCTTTTTGAAAAAGATAACTTCTTTATAGATATTTCGATGAGGTGAAGTGATTCTTTGATTTATTCAAATAGTACAATTACCTATTCTAATTTTTGGAGATATTATGAGCTGAATAATTTTTCAATATACGAGGTGCGTTCAAAAGTTTCCGGCCTTTGGGCATAAAAAAAAAAAAATCAGTTTTGTACATATCACAAATCTTTTTTAATTATCTACAAAATACTCCCCTTGGGAGTTCACACATATCTCCCAGCGGTTCTGCCACCACTGGTAACAAATCTAGAATGCCTTCTCTAAGGAGGTCGCATGGGTTCAAATCGCTTCCCTTTTAGCATAGTTTACAGATTGGTGAAGAGCCAGAAGTCACACGGTGCCAAGTCTGGAGAAGTAATGAGACGGTCGAACAAGTGGTGGCCGGAATAAGTCGGCGAATTTCGCCAACATTCTCCGCATGCGCAAATCCTCCGTTAAAATGAAATGCACTGATCCTATGCTTATTCTCACTTCGTGAGCAATTTGTTGGATTATGACACATCGGTCATCCATGATTATTTGTTGGACCTTTTCAATCAGCTCCTCGTTTCGGTTTGTGGACGGCCTGCCTCGGTCTCCACTGAAGTCTGGTCATATTTGAAGCGGTTGTACCACTTCTTGATCTGGCACGACATCATCGGCAAAAATCCGCTGAAATTTCTGGAGGCTTTGAGCTTGAGTATCACCAAGCTTTTGGCAAAACTTGATGCAATATCTTTGTTCTATGCGTTCGGTCATCTTGCTTGAAAACGAAAATCCGACGAGCGCGCACCACGCGTCTGTATTCTCGGCCTAATAGCCGGAAACTGACGCGGTCTATCGGCGCGAAAATTTTCACGCATCCGGCAATAGTTTTGGCGCGAAAAATAAAGTCGGATACTTTTTGAACACACCTCGTGTGTGTGTGTGTGTGTGTGTGTGTATATATATATATATATATATATATATATTTTTATTCCCAAGTACTTTCGAATGATACTCCATTCGTTTTCAGGGATTGTTCTGTGTGTACTTACGGAACTGGTTTTTAATTCCTACCTTCTCATGTTTGATGTAATCAATTTCAACTCGCTCAAGGTGACAT